GGGGCAAGTCAGCCCCGCCCCCGACAGTTCAGCCCCTCCCAGAGCCGCCCGTGGCCCCGCCCCACGGTCTTGCTGCTTCCACTGAGCCCCGCCCACGGCCGTTCTTAGCTGCGCCTCCAGCTCGTGAGGCCCAGCAGTCTCCGCTGAGCTCCGCCCCCGCATACTACCGTGGCTGGCCTGGCTGCTCGCGCAGTTCCAGCTCCGCCCTCACCATGCCTACAAGCTCTGGCAGCCCTGCCCCGGCCTAGCAGCGTCAGTCATTCCCTCTACAGGGAGTGCACTCCTGGGATCAGGCCTCAGCACAGCAGCTTGACTTCTCCACCTGCGGCGCCTGAAACTTCGTGTGCCCCGGAGAGCCATTTCGGGTCCCGGCTGATCTTTGCGTGTAGGACAGCAGTGACCCTGTCCCTCTCCACCCGCCTCGATATGACTTCGCCAGCGGGGCCTCTTCTCTTAGATACAGAGGTTTCTTTCTGGGGTTTGGCGTTCTGCTCCCTCCTTCAGACACTCCTTGCCAGAGAATAGATGATCAGGACAGGGTCTGATATAGAGTGGGTGTGGGCGGCTCGTTTACTTAAAGTGCTTTGAGATGGACATTAAGGATCCTGTACCGGGAGAAGAGACACACCTGTCACCATGGGTGACTGCCTTAGCACAGGATTTGGAGCCCCAAGGGAAGGGGATGTGGTGCAGCCCTCAGTGTGGTGGGAGTGGGGAGATGAGAGGATACATCCACAGCACCCAAGAAACCTGCCCCTGAGATCCAGTCGTCACCAGTCCTGCAATGCCTGGGAGACCCCTCTTCATCCTGCCCACCATCACCCCAAGATCTTGAGAAGGAGCTCTTGGCTTCGTTCCTGTCTCAACAGGTCTCTTTCCTTTGCTTAAGAGGGGGGCCTTTGTGTCCCTCTAACCTTTTAAGGCTCTGCCCACCCCTTTCTACCCCCATCACATTATGGGTGGGAAAGGGGAGAAGAGCCACCTTTCCAGGAGACATTTGCAGCTTCCTGTCCTTAAATGGGGATGTCCGTGAGGATCAGAAGTAGTGCAGTGGTTATCACTGACTTATCCTAAATACAGTGTGGTCTCCAGGACCGGGTGGGGATGATGGTGGAGGGTGTGGCATTAGGGAGCCCCACAAATGGGAGTGTGGAATAGGGGTTGGGAGGGTCCAGTGGAGGAGAGAGTAGTCACCAGCTGGTTTGGGGGTCAGAGCGCAAATAATAGAAGACCCAACCTTCCAGATTTCAACTTGGCTCAAGATCTGGAACCAAGGGATGGGAACTGACCCTTGGGGTCTCCTTCCTCTCCTCTCCCTCACATTCCACCTGAGGGACTCCAGCTGTCCCCTCCACCCCCCACCTCCCCTGCCTAGCTGCCTGAGGCAAAAAGCCAGGATGGCTCCCAGAGGCAGGTTGATGGTGGTTGGAACTTTGTGGGCCCTGGGGGAGAGGTAGCAGTCAGCCAGGCAGGGAGAGGAGAGGAGAGTGGAAGATGGAGCCTGGAAAGTGGAGTGAAGGGCTCAAGCCAGCTGAGAGTCTCCAAACCGAGGCTTCACTCCCAGTTCACCAACCAGCAGTTGAGGACATTCGTGAGCCACTGGACTTTTCTGAGGTACCATTTCCAAAACACTACAAAATGGTGATTTCAGTAGTTTAGCGCTCCTCACAGGACTGGTGTGAGGTGAAATAGAAAAGTCCTTAGAGAAGGCTCATCAGGTGGCATGGTGGTTAGGGTGCTGGACTTCCATATGGCTGACTGCAGTTCAAGTCCTGAACCTGGCAGCTTGCTTTCTCATTTTTCCTCTGTCTGGCTCTGGTGAGTAAACCTGCCCTGTAGCGCATTTTTAAAAATATGTAATAATAGTAAATAAAAAATGTTTAAAAAGTTCTTAGAGAAAAGAAAAGTGCCATTATTAAGGGATCTGGTGTAAGAATGGGCATGAGTCCCCAGCCTGCTCCCTCGTCCCACCCCACAGCTCACCACTTCAAGTTTTCCAGGTCATTCACAATGCTGAGGACTTGGCTGTCCAGGGAGTTTCGATATTCACCCCGACTCTGACAGAGGCACCCATCAAGACCCCAGCGGCTACAGTCTTGGTGATGTTGAATTGTCTCAGTTCTGCGCAGGATCCCCTCATGCTCCCACACCCCCCGGGGAAACGGTTCCCTGACAAATCGTCCCCAGCTTCAAAAGTAAGTGAGAATTGAGAGTCGACTTCAGACGTATTAGCGTAGTGACTTAAGTTTTTTGCTGTATTCTAAGAGAAGAAGATAATAATCATTATAAGGGCAGAGGTAAATATTGTGGCTGAGAAAAAAAACTGGCTTTCAGGAGGCCAGAGCCAGGTGTGTGTGTGTGTGTACGCACGCATGCGCACGCATGTGTTTGTTTGTGTGTGTGTGATGGGGCTTAAAGAAGGACAGAAAGACAAGGATGGAGAAGACTGTGATGTGCTGAACCCAAGTTGGGGCCTCCAGAGACATTTTCAAATAGCCAAAGCGCTGTTGTGCCCAAGAAAGATTGGGCTTGCTCTGTGGCCTTGGGGCAGATCTTGCACTAGCGGGAGAAAGGAACAGGAGGCAGTTGAGGCAGAGTGAAGTGTTTTTGTTTTGTTTGGTTTTGCTATAGGGTGTGAGAAGGAGAGAGAGAGAGAGGGAAAGTTGAGAAATCACTCCCTGGGGGGGTGGCCATGTTATAAATCCCCTCTCCAATCTTGGAATTTGGGGCAGGCACACTCGCGTCAGCGTGATTGTCAAGCTGCTGGGTCCAGGACTCCAACCACACAGTCAGCCGTGTGAGAGCCAGTGCCTTACCCTCTACGCTATCTGCTGGCCCCAAGTTCTTATACTTTTAATAATGTCCCTCCATGCTGTCAGGCGGTCACTTCTCACTGCTATTATTCCACCTGTAATATAAATATTATATTCCTCGAAAGGAGACCAGGGTCAGGCTGCAAGGCTGGAGCAGGGGGACTAGGGTGAGCAATGGATTTCTCTTTGCCACTCCCTGCATGACACTCCACTCTGTCCCAAGCTGGGGGTACCTTGGTTAAATGGTTCTTGTCTTTTCTACTCTGGCTTCCATGAACTTCCCCAGAGCAGCTCTCTGCCGTGGAGACCACGTGGGTGTATCCTTCTGAATGGAGGCACGAGACAAGGTTTATTGACCCTTGAGATTCCTTGAGAATATTTGGTAACAGGACTATTTGGTTCCCCACCCCCAAAAGAATTCCTTTACTAACTTTGCACACATCTGTTTTCACCTCACATCCTTTTTGGACTCCCAAGTGGGTAATGGCCTCCTCTCCCCACTCATGGATCCCAGGGAGGCTGGTCAGGGCAGGTTGGAGACTGCGGTGGATGATGCCTGGACACAAAAGCCTCTCTCTCTCCTCCGTTTGCCCTTCCCCAAAGCTCTCTCTCATCCTCCATCTTTCCAGTCTCATCGTCATTCATGCATAGGCCTGGTCCCCTAGCAGATAGACTCCTGGGTCAGAAGCTGGGAGGCGCAAGAGGAGGGAGGAAGTTGGCATCCTGCCCAGCAGGAGCACCACTACAAAGGGGTAGAGGAGGTGGTAGGAAAAGCGCCATACCCCTCCCACTCCTTCTCACTGCCAGGCACCTCCAATAACACAGTGAGAAAGAGGCCCAGGGCATTTGCAAAACTGACTCCACTGAGCAGTTTGGTGACGCTCTGGGTTTTCCTCATTGCCCCCAGTTCTCCAGTTACCTGTCCATAGCTCAGTCACAGAGGAGACTCCCTTCTACTCAAGGGGAAGAGTTTAAAAAACCCCTGAGTGTTTAAAGGAGAGGCCAGAGAGATAGAGAGTCTCTGGAAAAGAAAGCAAGGCAGCCTGGACCAGAGGGTCCCCAGTACATGGCCCAGGGAGGGGAGCCAGGGGACAGGAGGTAACACGTAAAGGGGAGGTTCTCATAGAGGCAGAGGGAGAAGAGTGGAGGAGCCCACAGGGTCCTCTATCTGGCCACACCCTATCTTTCCAAGCTTACCTCCAACTTGCTTCCACCATCCTCTAGCCCCTCGTTTTTGTTTTTTTTTTTGTTTTTAAATGGTTTTTGCCACAGGGCACATGCGCTTGTAGCAGAGAGAGAGAGAGAGACCATGAGAGGGAAAGTGAGAAATCACCCCCAGGGGGATGGCCACACTACAATCCCTTCTCCATTCTCCTGGGATTTGGACATGCATGCACACATGTTCAGTGTGATTTTCAAGCTGCCAGGTCTAGGACCTGAACTGTGGTTGGCCATGTGGGAGTCCAGTGCCTTAACCACTATGCCACCTGCTGGTCTCCACACTTTGCCCCTCTTTGTACCCTGTCTTCTAGCCCCGAGGTAGGTCTTGGTGCTGCCCAGATATTCCAAGTCATACACCTTCCTTGCCTTTACTACATGGTCTTTCTTCTAGGGTCCCCTCTTCTTTTCTGCTCAAAGTACTCCTTGTTCTTTAAGAGTTGACCTCTCTCTCACCTCCTTGTTTTTCCTCCCTCAAGGTTCCCTTTTATCCTCCATCTTTCCAGTTCCATCATCATTCATAGGCCCTGGCTTCCCTAGCAGATCGTCTCTGATGTTGAGCTGGGAAGTGAGAGAGAGGCAGTTGGTTGAAATGTCTTTATTGTGAAGCTTTTCTGATCACTCTGAGCCAGGAATGGGTCCCTCCTCAGAGCTGCTCAGCTGCCTGCTTCTCCTTCTGAGCTGCACACAGGCCAGCTGCTGTCATTCTCTGTTCAGTCATTCTCCCATGAAGCCAGACTTAGGAGCTCTGTGCTAGACTCCAAGTCTAACACCGTTCAGGCACAGTGCAGGCACCCAAAAGTCCAGATGCCAAAGACGGCATAGTTGAGATGGTCAGGTGTTTGGGAGAGACAGAGGACAAAGGGATAGGGTGGCAGGTGGGATGGGGTGTGCTGCAGAGGAGGCCCAGGGGTCAGAGAGGAGAGGGGAGTCTGGGAGTGCGGCCAGGGCTGGAACAGTGCCGGATGGTCAGACCATTGTGCTGAGGGTGGAGGAGTCCTCGGAGCGCACCAGCAGCACGGGGGCCTGCTTGAAGGAGCGCCGGGTCTCATCCCGGTTCTGCCACACGTAGTAGACCAGGTAAGCCACCACCAGTGTCAGCCAGCCCCCCATGGTGACCAGCAGGGCCACATCGGTGCTCCGCCGGGCCCCACCCGGCCCTGTCCCACACAGCTCTTCTTCCAGCAGCATGAATTCCTGCCCCACAAGATCTGGGCGGCCTCCCGGGCCACACACGATGCCTGTCCCAGTGCCTGGCACCAGCCTCACCTGCCTTAGCACTTCCTGGAGGGCACAGTCGCAGCGCCAGGGGTTGGCGGACAGGTTCACATGGATATGCAGCCCCGCAAAGGCTTCTGCGGGCACCGAGGCCAGCTGGTTGGCAGAGAGGTCGAGGCGACGCAGAGTGCCTCCCAGGCCCTGGAAAGCGGCCCCTGAGAGGTGGGCAAGGGCATTGTGGGACAGATCCAGCTCCTCCAGGATAGGCAGATGCTGGAAGGCACCAGCTGGCACTGATGCCAGCTGGTTGGCATCCAGGTAGAGTTTGCGGGTGTCGTTGGGGATGCCAGTGGGCACAGCTCTTAGGCCTGCCTGGCTGCACCGGAATGTCCGCTCACCAGCCTCCTCTGCCACGTAACAGCCCTGAGGAGGTACCCGGGGGCTGGGCACCGTAACTCCTGTGCCTATTACCAGCAGGAGGGACAGGAGGTGACTGGCTTGGGGGAGCATGGCCACAGACTGGCATAGTCCTGGAGCAGAGCAGGATCTGGGGAGAACAGGCCACGGGAAGGAAGCGTGAGTAGGGTTCCGTCCACGGCCAGCTGTCTTCCTGAGGTCCCCTGTGGAAGCATTTTGGGCTGTGATCTCTCCTTTGGGGGCTCTCTCAGGCCTTGGTGGCTTTCTTATTCCTCCTTTGTGTCCCCTTGATCTAGTGCTCCTCAGTAGGACCCTCTGCATAAAAGGTTTCCTGGGCTTGAGACATTTTTAGGGCTTCTTGATGCTGGAAGGTTAATCTATGTGGTTTCTTGGTGCAAGGCCCTTTGGTCATTCTGGGCCTAGAGGTTTCTGCCTTTCTGCCTGTGGCCATGCACAGATTTCTCCTGTTGGAATAAAACTTTTCCTCCTACCTAGCAGGGTGGCTGCCCAGTGGGCCAGGTAGGCACCAAAGGGTCTGGTGGGCACTGTGTGAAGGAGAGAAGGGGGACAGATCAGCTACAGGACTTCAGAGCATCCAGCTAGGCTAGCTGACTACAGAGGCTGTAGCCTCATTTTCTATGCTTATCAATCCCTTTTCTGGGAGCATCTACCCCTCTACCTGCCCCACCTCAGTCCTCTCGTCCTCCCTCAGGCTCTCCTCTATTCTCCCTCCCCCTCCCAGCCCCTTACCCCTGTGGGTGGTAGAGACGTCTGTGCTGCTGTCTTCTCCCCGGAAGTAGTCTCCCTGCCACTGGGATCTGGAGACCTGCTTCCTCCTCCAGAAGACGTTTGTTCGTAGCTGCTGAAAGTTGGGGGCTGGGGCCCAAGAGTGTTGGGTTTCCTGGCATGTGACTCCAGGCCCCAGGTGTCGGATACCTGAGCCATGGCCTTGCCAGGCGATGCCAAGAGAGGGCAGATCCTGGACCCTGATGAATTCTGCCATAGAGGGACCTGGCCCCCTTTCCTCTCCCTGCCTTGATCTCCCATCCCAAGGCCTTGACGTTGCCATTTTCCATCACCCTTCTCCTAGCTGGGGTTCAGACTTGGTCTCCCCAGAACCTCTCTTCCTTGCCCAGAACCCGGCTAGGCAGAAGAATACTTGCTTGGCAGGTCTGGGGGTGTAGGGGACATTCATTGTCTCCAGCAACCCATATCCCCCCAACTCCATTCTGCTCTCCTCTGCCCTCTACCATGCCATGTGTCACCTTCTTCCATGGTGAGCAAACTTTCCTCAGCCCTTTTCCTGGAAAACATGTCCCTTTCCAAAGGATCTAGTTTCCCGGCTCCTCACAATCCCTGACCCTCTTGCCCGCCAGGGGGTGCTGTGGTTCAGTTTGAGTGTGCTCTCTACTGGGCTGGTAGATGGACCCTCCAGGAGTTGGAAGAACTTCTTCAAGGTGCCTGAAGTCTGATATGGCCACCTATGAGTTTTCTTGCTGATTTCGTATTCTGGATTGGAATTGGCGTAGATTCTCTCAGTTTGTTGGAGCCTTGGGCTCTCTGAACTCTGGCTGGGAAACACAGGGCTTGGCTGCCCTATTCCTCACAGCCTCTTGATCCCAACCACCGTTTGCAGCTTATACCACCCATTCCACTCTGCTCTCCTCATGCTCACCAGCAACCGGGAAGGAAGGAGATGAGTGTTGTATGAGACTTTGGGCTGACTTTGGGCTCACTCTTTCGCGCTCCAGTGTCTGTATCTAGACGTGAGAATACAATACTGCTAAGGAGCAGAGAGGATCCACCAGAGTGGATGGGCAGATACTTTGTGAAGTGCCATACAAATGCTAGTTGTCAAGATTACTTCCAGAATATGATATGGCCTTTTTCCATGTTTCAATGTTTCAAGTCAAAATTTCCTGTGCTCTGCAGGGACAGAGGAGACAAGGGGTCAAGGAGGTGACTATCATGTTAGTTAATTCCTGGTTGCTTTTCCTTTGAACTCCCTTGACTCTCAGGTTCAACCCCATTGGCTGCCTTGGTCATCCTACGCCTCCCTTCCATCTTACACTATTCCAGTTTGGTTGGTGCTGTATTTAGAGCCCCAATGATCAACAGAGCTCAAAAGATGGGGCCAAACAGTTTAACCCTTTTAGTTTACAGATAGATCAATTGAGGCCCAGAATGTGACCAGAGTTACAGTGAGTCAATGGCCTGACCAAGACCAGAGACTAGTTTCCCGACTCCTCCTTCAACCACTCCCCTGACCTGTGGGCACCTCTCTTACTTCCATGCCACACTCACCAATCCCTGATCCCTGATGATACCCACAGTGCTGGCTGGAACTCCAGATCACTCCACTGGGTCAGAGAGTGGGAAGAGAATAGGGGAGTGGTGAGCCACCAACACTAGGGGAGAAAGGCTTGTATGAAATCATATTCCATGTAGGCCTTCTTGAGAAGGAAAACCTTGCTGGATTTTATGAGATTATAGGTGATCAGAACTAGACATAATTGTAGGGCCCAGTCCAGAATGAAAACATATGACCCTTTGCTCAAAAACTGTTCAGAGGGGCCAGCAAGTAGCGTGGAGGCTGGATCCTCCATGGCCAGTTGCATGATTTGAGTCCCAGACCCAGCAGCTTGAAAATCATGCATCCTAAGAGGAGACTGGAGGAGAAGGGATTGTGATATGGCCATCCTCTGCTGGGGAGTGATTTCATTCTCTCTCTCTCTCTCTCTTCATCTGTCTCTTTCTGGTGAGTGCATGAGCCTTATAGCAAAAACTAAAACCAAGCAAAAAAAAAAAAAATCCCAAAACTGTTAAGAATTTCAAGACTGCAAAAGCAGAGTGTAAAACCAAGTGGCAGGCCCTTCTGAGCATAGGGCATGGGAGTTTGCACGATGGCACAGATCGCATGACCATGAAAGCTACCTTTCAAATAGCAGAGTCACAAGTGGGACAGGGTCAGGTGATATCATCTCCGGGGATGTACTTACCACTGACTCATTCTTGTGATGTCAGCAGAAGCATTTCTCAGACTCATGTTTGCCCAAGGAATCAGATAAGCTACATTATTATTATTACTCCTACTATTTTTAGAAAGATATCTCTTGCTATAGAGTGTGTGTATTCTCTGGAGAGTCAGAGACAGAGAAACAGAAAGGGGGAAATCACCCCCTGTGGGGATGGCCATGCCACAATCTCTTCTCCTCCATTCTCTTTTCAGCATTTTGGGCACACATGAACACACGCCCGGCGTGAGTTTTAAGCCACGGGTTCAGGACTCAGACCACAGTGGACTATGCGAGAGTCCAGCGATCATCTGCTGGTCCCACAGATAAGCTACATTTCTACACTGCGCAGAAAAAAAACAGCATTTTCTCTGTGGGTTGCTAGTTATTTTGGGCAGACACTGCCTCTGAATACTTGTGAGTCCATTTTGGGATCATGGCTAAATGTGTGATAGGAAGCTGTGGACTCTCCTCCTGTTCTTCTCTCACACCAGAAAGCAGGCTTAGCTAAGGCACAGGGTTGAGCCTGGTTGTTGATGGAGAGTTATCTTCTTGGACCTAGGCGGCTTCCAGAGAGAGTGGGACTGGGCTCTCCAGTAGAGCAGCTGCAGGAGAGGCAGGCCATCTGTGTAAGCAGGAGAACCTGACTGGAGCTGTGGCCGTGGCTGATGAAGGGTGGCTAAGTGCAGGGCTCAGTCAAAGAGGGGATTGGAGGGGAGGGAGGAACCGTAGTCAGGACAGTGTACATTGCCATCTGGGCATGGACACACATGGGAGCTAAAACTTTACTTTGCCATTCATTTATTCGTTCACTTATTCCATGAGCATTTCCTGCGAGTCTTGTGTTCCCAGTACCACGCTAGTTAAAGGGAATACATACATTGTCTTAAGGTCTGCTGGATCTGCAGCAGTGGTCTTTAAAACCCAGCCTGCACATTAGAATTACTTGGGGAGCTTGGGCCAGCCGGTGGCGTGGTGGTTAAGGGCGCTGGACTCCCACATGGCCGACGGCAGTTCAAGTCCCAGACCTGGCAGCTTGTTTTCACTCTCTCTCTCTTTCTCTCTCTTTCACTCTGTCCCTCTCTGGTCAAAATTTAAATAAATAAATAAGGTTAAATAATAAAAATAATTCTTTAAAAAAAGAATTACTTGGGGAACTTGGAAAAATTAGTTATGCTGGGGTTTTATCTAGACCAATTAAATGAAAATCTCTGCGGATGGGTTTAGGTACTAGTATCTTTCTAAAGCTCCCCAGGTATTTCTTTCTTTTCTTTTTTGATTTTTTAAGAGAGATTTTTGCCATAGGGCGCCTGCAGTTCCTGGAGAGACAGACAGAAGTGAGAAATCACCCCCTAGAGGAGATGGCCATGCCACAATCCGTTCTCTTCCATTCTCCTCTCAGGATTCTGGTAATCTGTTCTCTTCCATTCTCCTCTCAGGATTCTGGCTGTGCACACACATGCACCTGGCGTGAGTTTTAAGCCACTGGGTCCAGGACTTGAACAGCAATTGCCTATGTGGGAGTCCAGAGATGTAACCATTAAGCCATCTGCTGGCCCACTCCCCAGATATCTCTAATGTGCAGCCTAAGTTGAGAGCTGTTGGTCTGGAGGGAGACATAGACATGTCAGCCCATGTCTCCACAATGCGTTAATGTGATGTCCACCATAACTGACCCATGTACAAGGAGCGCTGAAGCAGAGGATCAGTAATGTGGCAGAGCCTACTGGCTGCCTGCTGGGGATCCATTCCTTACCTCTGCCTGGAAAAACCCTGTACTCAGTCCCTGATAATGGACTCGTTTGGTCTCCTCAGCCCATCAGAAATCCTGTTGCTCACTTTTCCAGCTTTTTTTGCAGCTGGGGTGCCTAATTCCAGTCAATGATATCTAAGTGGAAGTCTGCTCCAGGGGTTTCTGGGACAACTTTCATTTGCTCATGAAAAAATGGGGCTGGACCCTGATCTTCCCTACTTTAAACATGGAGGGTCAACCCTAGCCATCTTGTGACCCTGAGGCAACAAAGCGGAAAGGACAGGTTAAGAGATGCTGGCCTGGACATCACTGAGATACTCGACCAGCTACTACCTTCCTCCAGCCCCTCGCTTCAGTGTGTGAGATGAGTTCCTCCTTCAGCGCTTCTCGACTTGGCAGCACATGAGAACACAGGAGGTTTGGAAGACTGCACAGGCCTGGGTCCACCCACAGAGATTCTGATTCATTGATCTGGCACATGTCCCGTGATCGGGATTTTATAAAGCCCTTTAGGTGAGTCTCATGGCAACCTAAGGTCAGAATCATTATTCCCTTGGACTTTCTGTTGCTTTCAGCCGAGAGTTTTCTTAACTGAAATACAGCTACTCCTCATTTAACAACTTACCTCTTTAACGATTACTCGCACTTACAACCAGTTATCTGACAATCTTTGTCTCATTCAAGGAGTTGGTCAGTATCCACTACGCAAAGCGTTAGCTCGTGTAGTGACCTAGAATGGCTACCAACCTTGGGACGATTTGATGACTAAAGTATTACTCTGACAGTTTTTTAAATGAATAAACTTTAAATTTTTTGGTATACAATTTTTATACTTTTGGCTGATCATTTTTTTGTTTCATTTTGAATTATTTATTTAATTTTATTTACTATTATTATTTTTAAAATTTGACCAGAAAAGACAGAGAAAGTGAGAAAACAAGTCTCAAGGTCCGGAACTTGAACCATGTGAGACCACGCCACCTGCCGGCCCTCGCTGATTATGTTTTTGTGTTCTGTAATACATATTAAAACAACGTTTATCCAGTCAGAGGAGTTCCCTTTTCGTTATTCAGAATAAATAAAAACAATTACTCAGGTTTATAGTACTGTACTGTGGGTCTCGTCAGTTCCTGGCAACTAGCTGATGTATGCTTTCTGCATGGATAGAATTGTATTATGCTAGTGTGGTGTCACGTGGTAGCTACTGAAAAATACATACCCTATGGCACCACAACT